CTAAACATGAGCAAAAATACGTACATGTCTATCCTTTGGTATCAACTCTGACAGGCCTACTTACAAAGTTTGATTTTCGTGCATTGGTAAAAAATTAAGCAGAAATGAATCAGTGTCTCTTTTCCCCATGTCCAAATAATGCTGTTTGTGATGCAAAGTCACAAGTTTGTAAATAGCAGAATTGTTTGGGAATTCGTCTGCCCCTTGTTCTTAAGCTGTCTGTGACATAGCAGCTGTGCAGCTTCGTTCCCAGCTAAGGAGGTTGTATCCCCCCCACTATTCCCAGTGACCATGGGTAGGGTAAGAAACATATGTACTCGGCAATTCTTTTAGTTCTGTTGTAGATGTGATTTGTGCTTGGTAATGCTAGACGTCTAGGTTTGCTCTGCTCAAGATCCATAAAAAGATCGATAAAAAATGACCTGCTGGTCTCAGTAACCAGTGCTGTGTAGGAGGGCACTTCCTGTTCTGTCGGAGTCTGATGGGAGAATTAGCAAGTTTGGTGAGGAACAGGTCTTACCACCATGGTGAGCCTGGATGTCCTTTCACTGAGAGAGGAATAAATGAGGAGCAAACCTTTTGAATTTTGTATTTGTGGGGGAAAAATATCAATATATTTAAATTACATTTGTGCACTACACAAACCTGAGCACACTTGGGGGAGCTTTGACAGACCCACATATGTGATGGTGCAGTGGGCAGCAGCCTTTCTTATCACCAAGGTCTGCACTACAAATCACTGAGCAGAGGTTTCCCCTTGGCTTCCTCTGTGCAATGTGGGAACATGTCTGCAGTGTGGGAGGGAATGTGTCTGGCAGTGCTGCGGGAATATGTCTGGCTGCTGGTCTCTGACATTCTGACGGTGTGTCCCAGAAGAGGACCTGTGCATCACTGGAGGGACAGGGAGGGCAGAACTGGCCTCCGGAATGAGGCAGGGATCTTGTCTTGGCAAGGTCCACCTTACAGGAGAGGCTGGGATGCAATGGATGTGAATGTGTAGCTGTGCAGGGGAATGGTTGGGAGGAAGCACTTGCTCCCTGCTCTTGCAAGGAGATAACCGCTCCTCTGCCAGCTAGTTCTGGCCAGGCACACGTTTATGAGTGCACCTTGTCTTCAGGCATTTTGGAAGTTTAAGCTGATGGACAGTTTTGGTTAAACAAAGCACTATATATGACATAGGATTCAGTAGATACCTTAGTTTTGGTGAAGATAGTTGTTCTAGACATTTGCTATTGGTGTTGTCAAAGGACCAAGGTTATTTGGAAAGGCATTTTCTGATTTGTCTGTAAAGGTTTATTTTCTGAGTGGAGGAAAGTACTGGTTTCAGTGACTGAGTGAAATCCATTCTTACGTTTTGGAAGGAGTTAAAATGTTTTTCTGGCTGCTTTAAAGCAGCCATACCTACTTTAAAGTGATAATCCAAAACGGATCTGACATTTGAGTGTGTAAAGGCTGATATGAGGATACACTGCAGTGAGCAGAACTGACCTGTAGAAAATGCAGATTAGAAAATGTGAAGTGAAGCACTTCACAAAGTAACCGGTGCTGCAGACCCTCATCACAGAAGCCTGCCCTACTCATACAAGTAACTGTGCTGCCTTTGTGGTGCTGCAGTTCTTCCTTGTGTTTCTGGAGCACGATGTGCTCTGTGCTGCAACTCTACGTATTTCCTTGCCTCCCAATGGTCTTGCTCAGACTGTGCCAAATGCAACATAAACCAGAACCCTAGATCTTTTACAGGAGCCTACCCTCTCCAGTTCTTGCTCAGTTCATCTTGGAGCTCATAAGAGGGGCCAATGATGCTTACAGCTTCTCCTCAGGCCAGGCAATACTGCTAATCCAATTGCCATTGTGATATAAATTGATTTCCTGGTAAGGAAGTCCACTGAGTCCTTTCAAAGAGGTGCCTAAAGTCACTAAATAGTTTGAGTACTATCCCATGTACATTTCACCAGTGTCTTTGAAGAGACTTTAGCAGTGGATTTCTTCATGGTCCTCCCAATCAACTCATTTTCTGGCCTTGTTGACCCACTTGTGAGTCCCCAAGAGGCTCTTCCCTGTGATGCTCAGAGTTCACTAGAGCATCCCTCATGCTTGTTGTGTAACAAAGCCACAGCTGTTTCCTGGCCTCTGGGACCCTGTGTCCCTGTGGGTGGAGTGGCAATATTTGCCTCACTGGATGTTATTTAATATTTTCTTATGTTAGGAACAATTTTTTAAGAGATTATGAGCTGTCTCCAAGCAGCACATTGTCAAGAACGTCAATGCAATTGAATGTAAACAATAGCAATGAGGACAGCCCTTTTATCTCTGGTTATCTGTCAGAATAAACTCTGCAGGGCTGTTGTAAGTGGGAGTCCTTATTTTATGCTGTGTCTTGCCAGTGTTCACCCAGGCAAAACACTGTTGCTGGAGATACTCTTTCTGAAGAAATGCAGTATGTTTGTCAGCTATGTAAAGCCTGGATCAAAGAAAGATGAAGATGCATGAAATGGGAACTAGAAGGGAGAGACACTTAGGAAACAGTGGGACTGTGGAAACCTCTGTCTTGTTCTTGAATTGTTTGGTGCCCGAGATCTTTTCTTTAAAGCTTTGCTTTAAAGCTTTTAAAGCTTTGCTCTCAGATTGCTTGTAACTCACAACTAAGCCCAGCCTGGACTCTCTGATGAAACATTCTACCTCCACCTCCCAGAGAGGCTCACCCACTGTAGACTAATAGGGTTGCCTAATAGGGGTGCATAAAATACAGTGACCAAGTCACACTGACTTAAAACTCGTATGGTAAGGATGTTGACATCTGTCCTCTTTGGTAGCTTGATAATTAGTCATTCAGGAGCTGAAATAAAGGCTGAGCTTTCACTAGCCTCAGGTAGCCCTGCATCTTGTGGGAGAATATCCTAACTGCTGTTGGAGGAGGGAAATGTGTGCATGGTCTCTGTGCATCCTTTGGAAACTGCCAGTCCAAAAAAGCGAGGGCTTCAATTGGCCAAAATGTAAGCAAGTGGGAATGTGATTCTTTAGCTTCTGTAGTAATGGCAAAGAATCTTTGTATTGTCTGTGAGATCTGGGCTTATGTTAAAATATTAGGTATTGTAAGTCATATAGGAAAGGGGAAAAAACCCATTCTCAAAATATCCCCCTTTTTTCATTGTTTTCCATGGTTTAACTTGGGCAGGTTTCTATTTGCTGTGCTAATTTTTTCAGCTCTCCTCTCCATCACTACTCACAGAGCATCCAGCTACAAAGTCTTTGAGAGCCAGACACCTAGGGGCTAGACTGTTGCAGTCTCACCATTTGGTGCTTAAATCCCCTTATGGACTTAGGTCTTTGCTTTTAGCTGTAAAAAGGGGGCAAGAGCACTGTTGTACCTCACAGAAGCATTGCAAGGCTAGATGAAAGCAGGATTAACACAGTGATGGCCATCAAAAATGTACCCTATGTAGCCTTCAATAAAAACAAAAAGAGATTATTTATCTGAAGACAGTGAGGTTTAAGTGAATGGCAGGCAAATGCTTAATGGAAACTCTTTCGGAAATGAAGTGAGGTGAAAGTTACCTTTTGAGAAAGGGAGACAGTGAGAAGGAATTAATGCATGAAATAACACCATTCAGATCACGGCAGGACCTGGCCTAACATTTGTATTTGCATACTTTTTTGTCGTTTCTTATTGTACTTCCTGATGAAATTTAAAAATATCCTAAGATAGTATAACATAGTGTTTATAATAGACATTCAAAAGCACTTGCTTAAGCCATGAGAAATGACAGCTTATTCTTAGGAAAGGGTAAAAGACATGTAATGTTTTTGGAAGAAAGTGCTTCTTCCGAAGAAGAAAGCAAAAAACCGTGGTATTTAAAAGAGGTTGTGGGAAACAAAGCAGCTAAAATGTCCTGAAGTTATACTACTGGTGTGTTTCATTCTAAAGAGTGTATAAAGATGTACTTGGTCATGCTTATGGAATTGAGCAATGGAATTAGATAGTTACAGGAATGTTTTATTTAAACCCACTTGAAGTTTGCAATGGGGTGAAAGATTTTGAAAGGGGAAGTTAAAATAAACAGAACTCTTTGCAATTAATAGGTAAAATGTCTTGCTTGTGGTTGCAGGAGGCACTGATGATGACTATGTACATTTGAGTAGTTGGGGGCAGATCCTGAAAAGCAGACAGTGAGGTGGACTCCCTTAAAGGCTCCCCTTAGATATGAAGGCCTCTTGATCTCATGTGACTGCCCAACCTTTCTTTCAAAAGCCAGAGGGTCTTTGCAGCAGGGAGAAGAGCCACTGTCTCCTCCTGCCTGCCAGTGCTCAGGCAACAGTGCTGCTGTCTGTCTTGGCACAGGTGTAGTTTTGAGATAGCAGTCATAAAAGAAGTGTCACAGGCAGATCCAGTGAGAATGGAGGTGTGAATCCTGCTTAGTTTCTTTTCTAACTGATTGAAACTCCTTATGGCTTGTATTGCAAACAGAAAGTTCCTTCTACTGGTATAAATGCTAACCTTGGTTCCTGCGTGTCTCTTTGGGAGTGCTGTGCTGTATCTGTCACACAAGAAGTATTTGAGCTTGTGTGGCCACCGGTGAAGGCAATTGAGAGGGGCCACGGTGTCTGCATTCAGGGAGGGGAAGTATTGCTCATTTGTTGGTTTGGCCACTGTTAGAGGCTTCACATTCAAACTGAGTGTTGTGGTGGATCAGTGCATGTGGCCCAGAGAAAATGCGTCTTCTGTCAAGAGATGAATTTTACCCGCTTGATCATCATGTGTTTCATTTGCATAAACCTATCCTTTTATGCTTTTATACTTTTGTATAAGTAATTAATACTTTTTTTAAAAATAAGAATTTACTTAAAATTAAACTCAAGAATAATAATGTTGATTGCAGTGGGAATATCTGGGAAAAATTGTTCAGGGACTGAAGCAATTGGTACTGGGTCCTGAAATGAGTATTTCCTCTAACGCAACCATAGCCTTGTCTAATGTCTGACTGATGTGCTTTTTCAAACAGATACTAATTTCGTCTTGGGTAATGCCCAGATAGTGGATTGGCCCATTGTCTATAGCAACGATGGATTTTGCAAGTTATCAGGATATCACAGAGCAGAAGTTATGCAAAAAAGCAGCACCTGCAGGTATTTGAGAACAGATTTATTTTCTGTTAAATAGCTTGTAGTGTTGTGCTTGTTGCTTGAGGAGAAAAGTAATCTATTTATTCCAGTTTTGTCTTTTATCTCTTGGGGCTACATCTGTCAAATATGCTTTCCAGGTGAAACAAAATCAAATAAGAGCTATTTCTAAGGGGGTCCTTTTTACACTGTAAACAAATTGCTCTGTGTCTTTGTTTAGTATCTGACTGAATTTCTTGCTTTATTCACAGTTTTATGTATGGAGAGCTGACAGACAAAGATACAATTGACAAGGTCCGGCAAACATTTGAGAACTATGAGATGAACTCCTTTGAAATCTTGATGTACAAGAAGAACAGTAAGTAATTGATTGGTTTGTTCATTAATGTAGGTGGGTAAAGTTGCTTTAAATTATAGTGTAAACTGCGATTCTCTCAGCCTGGAGGACCGTGCTTTATCCAGGGCTAAATGAGCCCCAGTTCTGCCACTTGATCTAGAAGGGAGAAATGAGAACATTAGAGATGAAAGTCACTCAGGGAGGCAGAGGAAGCTCTCTAATTTGTTCTGACGTTTAGAGTAATTTGTGTGTGATGCTTTAAGACAACACTGAAGAGTCCATCAGCAATGATAATACACAAGTTAGGTTTGTGCAAATAGTTTCTGCTACAGAGAACATACTTTTTCAATTTTTAAGAACTTGATATAGCAAAGCCAGTGTTCAGTAGTTTTGGAATAAGCTGAAAATTTGCATTCTGTAACTTATTTTGCTCTTAAAAGTTTTGCCTTCTACTCATGAAACTGGTACTGCCTGTGTACAGGGGAGGGTACCTTGCAGAAGCATTCTGCTAGCAGCTTCTTCCCATTACAGCTGTGATGATCAATTTGATCAGTTCCGCATTAGTAAGCATGGGGTACTTGAACCACAAAATATAACTTAAACTGCTGCGATGTAATCTTTGACAGTTAACACTATTGCTGCTTTATTTCTTGTTAGATCTATTTTCTGGGGAAATGTTATCCAATCTATCTGTATGTGTGAATGATTGATATTTCTTTTGGAATGACCAGGTAGCAGTGATGGAGTTTGGTGAGAGAAACACAGGCACTTCATAAAGGCTAAAAGATAATACTTACGTATGCTAGTGCTGATCTCTGGATATGTGGAGCTACTTGTTTTCTATCATAATTAAACTGTTCTTTTAACAGGTGTTGATGTCAAAGTACATGGAGTTGGTTATTGTTACCTTTCAGAGAGAAAACAAATCCCTGAGTTTAATCTCTCTTTTAGTTGTCTTCTTCTCTTTTCAGCCTTTTGAAAGCATCATGACTTTCAACATGATGCCATTGCTCAGGACTCTTCTGGAGCACAGTTTTGCCGGTCCAACTCATTTGGAAAGCTGTTAGCACTATCTAAATGGACTTGTTTTGTGCTGCTTTCCTCCTGCCTCCAAAGTTTACCTATTTTTAAAAGCCAATTTCTGTTCCTAGCTTAGTTAGTGGCCGTGGGGATCATATGCATCTCACATCTACGCATCCAAAGCCAAGTAAATAAGCTGCAGTCATGGGATCTAGGAGGGTCTGAAATTTTCTCTTAGTTAACAGTGACTTGGCACCAAGAGACTGTGCAGCTACTCCTCTGTTGTTGCTGCAGCATATGGCCTGCAGTAGAGCCTGGGGCCTCTCTGTCTTTTATGCAGATTTAAAGCAAGGTAACCATGGAGTGAGGAATGTTTCCTGCCCTGCTGTGCACTTCCCTGAGGAGAGGCAGCTCAGAACAAAGTCCAGCTGTGCAGTAGCTGTGTTGTGTGACATGCCAAAAGACAGAGCTGCAATGGTTCTGCTCTGTACACAGAGGGTCACAGGCATGGGAAAAAGGAAAGCACAGAGTTTGCTTTTAAGTTTAACAAAACACAGGGCACTTAATGTTTGTTAGATTTGTAGCTTTAGAGATACATTAACTACTGCTATAGAGACTGCCTAATAACACTAGAGAGTTGTAACTGAAAAATATCAAAAAGGGAACATCCTGCAGCTTTTTCTCAAAATAGGCCACATCATAGAAAAATACTGTCATATTTACTGGTCACTTAGCACCCAGACTGCTAAGTGGCCTTTCCTTTGTGGTCACCTTACTTCTGCATGCAGCTATGGCAGCTGCCAGCTCAGGTAATGAACAGGATTGGTTTCAACCTGCTCTCATTTTGAAACTTTTGGAAAGGACCCTGAATTTTGTTAGACATCTTTTTTTTCCTGCTGTTTATTTCTTCTGTTTTGTCTCTCTGTTCTTTCCTCATTCTATTTTTCTTCTTCAAATTAGCCAGTAAAACAGACAGGAAATGGATTTTTCTTACTCTTTACTTGTCTACTACCTCCTTATAAACTAACAGTCATGATAAATAGCAAGCTTTTCTTCCTTTTTTGAGCTGTTCGATAATTGGTCATTTTCCACAGCCTGCACATTTGATGTAATTCTGGTTGTTTTAACAATACAGTCTCTGTCCTTCTGGAGGAAAAAAGAAAAACAAAATAGGAGTTTTGAGTTCATTTTCTGCCTTCATCATATTTGCATTTATGGGTGCTGCCTCTACCCTGGCCTTCCCTTTCTTTGTCCAGTCCTCCCCCCATCCAAAAGTGACTATATTCCCTGTTTTCAGAACTTGATGTTGAGATGTGATAGAGATTTGATGGTTCCTTGGGCTAAGCCCTTGATTACCTAACAGATATGTGACAATCATTGTTATTCTCTGGAATAATTGCTTCCCAGAAATGCAGAGCTCCTTCAGGATAATTGGAAGCAATTAGAGCAAGCAGGTGCACAGACACCAGATTTTTGCCATTGTTGCCTTGATGTCATCCAGTTGCATTCAGTGGGGATTCATGGCCTTACCTGGAAAGAGGCAAAGCTAAAGCTTTCTTTAGTCTGGACTGCAAAATGACAACAGACAGGTTGACAGTAATTTCACATGAGAGTTTCAGTTCCGTTGTTTGTTTAGATGTGAATGTACAGTGATGCTGGAAGTATTGTTTATTTTTATATGGGAAAATCAAAACATTGCTAAATCTGAAATCAGTGGAAATATGTTAACTTACACTGAGGGAGGGTACAGCCAAATGTATTAGAAAATATTTTGTATCTAGCCTTAGTCATATCTTACCTTATCTGAATTGATGCCGTTTACACATCTAACTTCTTGTGAGACTTTGACAGCCATTTGTTAGGTTTTTACACTTTATGGTCAGCCTCATGGATTAAAAATGGCTGAGTAAATTAAACTTGGATGTTCCTTGTCTAATTTTATATCTACAATGTAGATCTGGGTTACAAGCAGTGCAAAAGCAGGCTTGATCTACATGAACTTGCTTCCATTATTAAAGAAGTAAATTTTTGGTAATAATACAAATTTACTTGCTTCTGTCTACCTCTGAAGAGGTGGTGCCCATCTGAAATCTAACCCTCTTTTCTATGCAGTACTTGATCTACTTCAGTGGAAGAATATCTGAATTGGGGTGAACTCTTCAAAACTAAAGTGCATCAAGAGTTACAAAGAGCCTTCAAGTGTCCCCTGTCTGAGCAAAGGCATTCCCATTGCTTATGGTCTGCAGCTGTGCTGCAGAGAGTGTTATGACACCTTTTTTATTTTTTTTTTCTCAGAGGTTTTCTACAGATGGGGCCAGCAGAATGCTTGCCAGAATGCTGGGTTGGCTGTAGGTAACTGTTTTGCACACTGCAAAGTAATTTGGTTAATTGGTAGCTCTTTGCTAAGTAGATATATTATGGTGATTGTCCTGAAGGCTGGTATTCACTTTCAGTTTGTGCTGGGTTTCACTTCCCTGGTTTCTGGGTGCTTGAATGTTAAACAAATTTATTACCATGAATATGGTATTTTTGTTTTTTTGATTTTTTTTTTTAATTTATTTTAACATGTGCACCATCTTCTCCCCCTGCCTTCTTCCCCCAGTGTATTAGAAAGCTTTTAAACATCAGAGAATGACAAATAAGCCCAAAAGAGTGATTTGGGAGATTCTACTTGCATTTATTTTTAGGACCAGTGCTTTCTATAGAGGTTAAAAAACAAACACCCCCATTCTAACTTATGATGAGCAAAATTCATTTCAAGGTGGTAGACCTGTGGTTGCCCACCACTAGAAGGAGAGTTTCTCATAACTGTTACTGCTTAATACCATTTAAAACCATTTACATGGTGTGTGCTATGCCTCCAGCAGAGTCTCCAGATGGAAAACGTTGCTAAACCATATCATTGCATAGCACCAGAAGCAGGAAAGAATGGGGGTGTTGGAGTCAAGTGACATGCATCTTCCTGGGCCTCCCGTTGAAATATAGCTCCATATTTGTCAAGCGGTGTGCACACCTGCATCTCCTGTGAAATCCATCTGAGTTCACAGATTCTCTTTCAGCAAGGTCAGATCTAAGTATTTTTGATTCATAAAACTGATAATTCCCATTGATCTTGACAACTTCAAATGTGTTGGCAAGCAAGATCTGCTGTCATCTCCTCAAACATATACAGAACAGTAAGACTTACTAGTAGTAATCCTTAAATATTTTGTCTGGGGTAAATGGAAAGAAGATTACAAGTGTTTCCCTTTTCCTTATAATCACATTTTGTTCTTCAGAGAACTCAGAAACAGGTAAACCATATCAACACTACTGCAGTACAAGGGTGTGTGCTGAAGCTTTTTCCTACTATGTTTTTTCGATATCATAGAAGAACCCTTGTGAGTAGCAATTCCACCTTTGGGGATTAAAATTGATTTTTCCTTATCTTAGCATGTAAAGATCTGACCTTTAGAAGCATTAGCTGCCAGAGCATCCCAGCACCAGATGCAGGAGACCTGAAGGTAACAGTGGTTAAAGTGCTGGGAATGTATTTTAAGATCTGTTCGTGTTGGCACAGAGTGGTGAGCTGCATACTGAGTTGGTGTGTTCTCTTTTGGTACACACTCTCTGCTCAAAGGTAGAGTCTTTAGGAAACTTTTGCTCTTTGTCTTGCATGGTTAAATGTCACAGGCCTCTCTGAGCACCTAGTTAAAATCTGGGCGGATATTGTGGCTTGCCAAACTCTTTCTGATCACACCTCATCAGCTGGTTCTCTCTCGTATGATACTGGACAAACTGTTCAAACTGTGTGAGACAGAGAGAAACAGTCTCATACGGAGTACCTGGGCATAAGTGGAACCCCAAAAGGGGTGACTGTAATGGCCAGCCATGCCATTTATATAACTCAAGTCCTGCTGTCGGCATCACTGCAGGTAGGAATTGGTGGAGACAGGGCACAGGCTTGTATCCTTTCCATCTCCATAGTGCTTGACTGTTTACCTTCAGGGCAGTACCTGTCTGATGACTGCTTGACTGAGGCATTATCAAGTAATGCAGAGGCTGTGCTTTGAAGAAACTTGCTCCATTCATTAGGGGCAGGGAAGATGTCAGCTGAGTTGCCAAAACATGTTTTTTTCTTTGTATTTATAAATTAATTTTGGTTTAGTTTGTGGAAAGAAAAATTTTGTGTTGCAGGTTTAAGCAGTGTGGTTTTTGTAGTTTTGAAAAACAGCTGCCCTCTTTGGTTAGATGGGTCAGGGTGTGGGCAAAGAGCATATTTAAACAGTGATTTTGATTTTGGTTATAATCTATTTTTATTTGACAGGAGGGAAAACTTAGGAGAGGTCAATGGTATGCTCAGGGGGAGAAGCTTGAATAGACCTATAAGTTCTCATTCACTTTGGTGCTGTAAGAGTTTCTGAAAGACCTCAACCAAAGTTAAATAGCTGGTGTTCCTGCTTAGCGAGGGGATTAACACATCACTGTTGAAATACACAGAACTGGAAATAAGGTTAGGGAAGAGACAGTAGTATTTATGTTACAAGTGGCATTTTTGAACTGAAATGTGTGCAGACATTTACTGTGTTTTAGTCTGGAGAAGACTTGGGACTTGACTCACAGCCCTTAAAACTGTCTTGCCTTTAAGGTACTGTAAGTACTGTGCTCAGGCCAGTAAAGACTATTAAGAGCTGCACCTGTTAATTCTGGGATTAGCTACATAACTTTGGTACCACGAGTCAGGCTGGTCCTGTGGCTACTGTCAGACATTGTTTGTAGATTTTTATTTCTTCCCAGTTGTTCACGCTGCTTCTCCTGCAGCTTTGAAGTGACATTCTCTTTTCTAGCTTGATTGGTCCTATGCCATTAGACAAACTCCGGATTCTTTCACTGTTGATTCCAAATCTAACAGAAGCCAATGCAGCTCACGAGTGTTTACTTCTTTGTTTGTGCACTGGTATTATCGCTGAACTTTACCAGGGAGAGAGGTTGCCAGGACTAAACACAAAATGTAAATGGAAGTAGATGTATTGCTGGAAACGCTGGTAAACACTTTCTGTGTGGCTGTACATCAATGCAAACTGGGAAGTTACTCTTGTTTTGCTGTGAGAACTCTGGAACATGCTGCAGTTCCACTGCCTGCATAACCTATAGGCTGAATCTGAAAATCACAGTTTTCATTAAAATGGCCTCTTGCCTGTAGTAGTTATCTGACTGAGCAGGGACATTGGCTTTGACACCAAGACATGAGGGCTGCCTGTAGAACATTGAAATTCTATTTTCTGACCTGATTTATAAGTAGTTTATACTTTAGGCTTTCCTGTCTAGCAGTTAAATAAACTGTTTAATGTTTAAAAAAGTAAAATTTTTCTGGTAATTAAACCAGTATGCAGGAAAAAAACTGAGAATGGTCACATCTTGGCTGAGCCTTTCAGTGTGTTCCCACAGTTCAGATCCCAGTTCTGCTCTGAAAGAGCTCCTGGTTGTGGAGCACTGTGGAAAGCTCATATAATCCAACACTGTGAGCACTCACCTCAGGACTGTATATTTATATCCACTTGTCTCCTATTCACAAAATAGATTGACAAGATGTTAGGGAATACACTGCAGGGAAAAACAATGTTGTGGAGGCAGATACATGGCCTGGCAGAGTTTTCCATCTGCTTATTTCTGCTGTTGCAATATTACTGTGTAGATCCAAACTGGAAGATGATTCATGCAGACCAAGCATGCCACCTTGATTTTACATTCTGCCCTGTTTATGGCACTCTGGAAATTATAAAGGTATCCAAATAGTGTAATTCAGCAAACACACCTACTTTTAGCTGTCAAGGATATCTGGCTCTTTCTTTCAGCCTGTGGGGCACATCACTAAGTTTTATACTTGTCTCTGGATGAAAAAATGTTTTGTTTCCCTTTTTGTTATAAACAATGCAGCACAGGAGTGGGAGTCAAGAGAGTCATAAAATAAGAACCCTGCTGATAAAAGCTCCTTGCCCTGCAGCAGCCTTTAGCAAGTTATCGGGAAAAGTCCGCATTCAGAAAAGTTAGAAAAATCTTGCAACAGCATGCTATAGCATAGTCATAAAGAGAAAATGACAGCATGCATCTGACAAATAGGCAGAATAAGTGGGTGAATTGCCTCCTTTCTGTTTCTTTGTTGTGTACAGCATCTTCAAAAGCGCCGCAGTAAGTTTTTATAGCTGTGAGCGGCAGAGATGAAGCTGAGTATGTAGCTGAGCTTCAATGCTATGAAGGTTAATTCTGTGAGCAGCCCATAGCAGAACAATTTTATCTTGAAGAAGCAAAACAATACAAAGTGGTTTTGGGGAGGGGCAAAAAAATCCCTAATCAAAAAAAGTAAGTGCATGTGGATAGAGATCAAAAAGGAAGGCTGTAGATGGAGATCTTGGCTAATTAAAAAGTTGCAGTGTTAGTGAAGAGTGAAGTGGGTAAAATGAAAAGCAATTAGTCACCAAGGAGTCTGTGTAAAAGCAGGACAGATTTGATCAGCTTCAGAATAGTTCACATGTGAAGATCGGAAAAACAAGTAGGCAAGAAGAAATTGGGATAGACAATTTTAGGAGCTCGTAGAAAAGGGTAGGATAAAGGGTGTTGCTGTCTAGAAAATTGCTGTTGGCTGCTTCGTGGCAGTGTCTTCTAAGCTCATTAGCGAGTTAGTGATGATTTTACTGGCACAGTTACTTTGCTGAATCTTTTTTCGCACTTTGCATTTTTATTTGCTGATAGTTTATCGGAAGGGGTTGTTCAGGAATGTGAACTCTTAAAAAAATGATATATTGACCCTTGAATACTTTCTGCTATGCAGGCACGCTTCAGAAATGGCCACCAGTGATTCCATCTGGATTTCTCTGCTTGTTGAGCAGAGGCCTCCATGCATCATATACCCTGCTGTTTATAGAGGTAGCTGTACATATGGCATGGAATCTCAGCCAGGGTTTGAAACTGCCTGTGCTATGCAGGCACAGTGGGAGCCTTAGGAATTGAGCTTCATTTATGGAAGTTGTCCATGGGTTTTGGAGATGCCCTGTCTTTCTGTAGCCAGAAAAGATTGCTCAGCACTGAGGCTGGGAAACAGCCAGGTGAGGCACTGGAAGCAGCAACCTGTGTTACGTTAATATAGTTGGAAAAAAAGCTGCCTTTGTTTGCTTTGCTGAGCAGTAACTTGTGAAATACCTGAGATTTCTTTGTGACCCTTTGACAATCAGGAAACACAAGTGACCCTTGTTATTAAAAACTACTGCATGAAATATACCGTATAGTGTGCATTTTAAAATACTGAGGGATTGAGGTGAAAGAGAATCAGATCACTAGCATAGAGGAGGGTCTTGTGATTGAGAAAGAAAAGAAATAGTCTTCTAAGACTACCCTCTCTAAAACAGACTTTGCTGCATGTGTGACTTAAATTGTATGGTGCTCTTTATTCTGGCTTTCCCAGATTTTCGAAATCCTGCCAATCCTGACCCCTGCTGTGTAGACCCTTCTCTCCAAACATAGCTTACAAGGGACACAGAAGCAAAATGTTGCTCATGGCAAGCAAGCCTGAATCTTGTCTTTGGTTCTTACTTCTTATGCCTGCAAAAGCAATTATGAGTTTTTTCGTCATCACTGGAGGTGTAGGGACAGTCTGAAAACTCCTGTACAAGCTCCCTGAAGGCCCGAGGCTGGAGTCTCCCTATTGCCATGTACCTCACAGTTGGAGAAGTCATCTTTTTATGTCTAAAATTAAGACTGCAGACTTAAAAATGGTGCCTTCTGGGAAGCCATGTTATGACATACAGAAACCAAGTGCTTTGTTTTGAGCCCTCCAGTCAGCTTATACTCAAGTATCACTCAAATCAGTGTGGTGAGTCCTGTGAAATGAGTGGTAGACACTGTCTTGTTACATGGAAATTCATTGCTACCACTAGGGTCTTCTCAGCAGTCTCAGTAAAACTGCCCGAAATGTAGAAAGGCAGGTTCTGACGGGTTCTCTCCTCAAGGTGATCTGTGTGGATAGATGTCAAGGAAAATTGACAGCAGCGTCTGAAGGGTCATAATGTGGGATCATCTTTTTCTGTGATGTGCAGGCTTTGAACTCTCAAGCAATTTTCATTAGTAGTTCATCCACTGCAGTAATTAGAAAAGTGCAGTTTTATGGATCCCATCCACAGCTCATGGTCTGGTCCTAATGGCTTGTTCTCTCCCGAATTCAGTGGAGTCTTGCTTTGCACTAGCGTGATTGTGAGCAGGCTTATGACAAGGCAAGCTGGAAGGCAGTTTGGAAGGGGTTTCCCTTGCATGGGAGGATTTGCAGACGAGACCAGATTTCCCAGAGCCTGGCTCTTGAAGGTAGAGACAGGCTGGTAGAGTTGTGTGGGCATGGTGCTCTGTGTTTGCAGGGAAGTATAAGGTTAACAAAACTGGTCTTCCTCTTGGGTTGAGACTCTGTATTGTGATCATGGACTAGGCACAGTTGGCCTGTTCTCAAGTCCTTTACATAACCAGCAACATTCTGTTGTGTGCAGCCTTTGCATGTACATGGGACTCTTCCTTTGGGAGATCACAAGGCAGTTCATAAATTCAAGTATTCACTTTGTAAGTGAAGTTCAGAAATATGAGTGACTGCTGAAGATTAAAAAGCTAATCAGAGGCAGAGCAGAGAACTTAAATAACACTCTTGTCATCTGTTTTGTCATTTTTCCTAATAGGTGTTTACAAAAACCCCAACATTAAAGTAACACTTACAGATGGCTGATATGAGATGTAATCATATGAACTAGCACACTTACTGTTCTGCCTACCACTGACCAACTTTTTGATATGTTTGTTTCCAGGAACACCTGTATGGTTCTTTGTGAAAATTGCTCCAATTCGAAATGAGCAGGATAAAGTGGTTTTATTTCTTTGCACTTTCAATGACATAACGGCTTTCAAGCAGCCCATTGAGGATGATTCATGTAAAGGTTGGTCTTTTTCCCAATTATGTATTTATGATGCTTTTGTTTGTTTGCCCTGGTCTTGAAAGAGTTGAAGTCCTTTGAATACCAAAGCCAAAGAATTAAATGTAGCCGTGCCACTTGGGACAGCATTTGTGCAAGGAGTGGTTGCTGGTTTCTTAAGCGAATTCGCTCTGGCCTGCACTGGAAAGGGTCATTGCTAATGTGCTTCAGAAAGCACAGTTTATTTAGTAAATAGGTACTGCTCTTCCTTCTGAATATGTTATTAACCCACAGTCCAGCATAGCCTTCAGGGATTCATAATGTTGCTAAACAGCTCTGTACAAAGTGTGCATGAAACTGTATGCAAAAACTGAGGAATTAAATCTGGTGCAGTCTGGCAGAGATCTGAATAATTTCATTCTGCCTGGCTTGATGTTTCTTGCCATTATTGTGGGATTTATTATATTCAAGTTCTGGACTAGTTCCCTTTAACCTATGTGAAGAGATTTATCTGAAGTTGAATCAGGTTTAAGCCGTCCTGGAGTGTGAAGTAGCATTGCAGTGTTCTGCTGTTAACCCTTCACTGAGTTACTGCCTGGAAACCTGGAAAGCAAACTCAGCTGTGACAGCAGCATAAACTTGCACGCAGGTTCAGATCCTGTCAGAAATAGACCTTTTGTACCCATATGAAGCATTACAGAGACTCGTGTCCTTCTGTTGTTTGCATTTTTGTAGTATTTAATAATATTTGTAGTATTAAATTAAACAGGAAACTTACTGTGAAGATGAACTGATTTACATTTGTTTTCAAAATGTTATTCTTTAAAAACATAGTTTCTCAAAGTGGAAACACCTGTTACCCTGAAAAAGGAAGTACAACCTTGACAAACATACCCTCTCCCAGGCTATGTGGGTAATTTTTTCCCCATTTTCTTGCTATTTGTTTGGGCTTTTATTGCTTTAATAAAACTGAAAACTTGTCAGAAACTTTGAGTCTACAGTATTTTTTCCCCGCCTAGTGGTCTTCACTGTATCCTGATGAGGACTGACAGCAAAGATAAATCAGCATGATGCAGTAAAGCTGGCTTTCATTTGTTTGCTGGTAGTGAAGACCTTTGTTTCACTTAGCTGATAAGCAGGACTTCCAGTCACAAGTGGTAGCTGTATCTTTTTGCTTTCACAGCAGTTCCTTCTGTGGTAGAGGTAGGCAGTTTGTCCTTCGCTTTCAACACAAAGAAACACTGTAACTTTTTTGTTTTCAAGTATTTTGAAGAAAGAGAAAGCTAATTTTATTTTTTTTTTTTTTTAAATCTCATTGGATCTTGAAATCGTGTTATTCTTGCAGTGATCAGGGTAGTTCTCAGCAGTTGCATATCTACAGCAATATAAGCACTAAAACTACATAAAAGGGAGGAGTTGCAGAGGAGTTAATGATAAGCAAAATTTCTTACTCTAGGCCATGGAAACTGGTAAAGTGACTAACAAAGATTGCAGACAAAGAACTGGATGTATTATTTAGAGGCCACTGATTCACAGCTCTGTACTCCTTCCCTGAGCAATCTCTTTATGTACAGAAGGGCTTGTGCACTAAATGAGTCTTCCAAAGATAATTTCTGTATCTCCTAAAATTAATAAAGTTGCAGCAGTTTCATGCTGGTAATGAGTTCTCTGTCACTGTATACACACACGAGGCATGATATAAATGAAACTGCATGTTCCATTTTCATCCTTATTTTAACTCTACACCTTTCTTCTGTAAGTTAGTTGCTGTAGGCTAGTTTTGAAATTTTGTTGTGTGCATTTAAGAAGGTGATATTGTATAAGTGATTGATGGCTAAATAATCAATTTCTTGGAAAAGCTGATTGGTCAAACAGAAGTTTACATACATATCCATGACTTTATTATTAGATCTCATTGTGCAATTGTATCCTGTGAAGGGAGGAGGAGGAAAGGTACTTATGAAGTATAAGACAATTGTCTGTAGTAGGCTCTAGAATTTACAGAGTGGAAAAACATTTTTGGAAGATTAAAAAAGGTAAAACTGTATTAGCTTCTTCTGAAAATCATTATTTTAACAGATGTGGGCTTTGAAGAGGGCATATTCTTTGAGCTGTATTCAGCATTAAACAGGAATTTTGCAGCTTGGTTTTGAAAGAGCGCTTTTCAAAGGAATGTTTCTCATATTCTAAACAAAAATGAACTCTCAATCTGAAAAACTAAAACTGTGAACTTAGAGATTTGATGTTTAGCTGAAACAATTGAAAACTGTTTGCCGAGACAACTGTTTTTCTTTCATTCACCTTCAATCAGCTTTTATCGCTTTTACCAAGTTTATATGTGAAGTTAGTTTTCTATGCACATGGCCACTCAATATGTAATAGGCTGCCCTTAGAAGCAGATATTTTATTAACATATGTGCTATTTGCGCAGTTTCAGAGTGGCATAATATAAAATATTCATGTTTTTCAAAATCAATGCTTTTATGTCTATGTAGAGAAAAACATTATGTAGTACAAGAACATGATCAATTTAAAAAGCAAATAATCTGTCAGGCTAAACCTGCTTACCTGTGGTATATCTTAGTTTTCTATCACCTGCTGGCAATTTCAAGCCTGACTGTTCAGCTGCAAATGATGTAGTGACTTTTTGATTGAGAAGAGTTGAGCTCTAATGGCAGGTGTTTGCTACACAAAAATGAATTGGCATCTTTTATCTGAAGGTGACTCAGAGAGACAGAAGGTCCCAGTACCATTTTTCATCTTAATTATTTTTTAATTTATTAATAATATTAGGTGTTGGAATAGATGAAGCAAGAACATATTTCTAAAGTCACGTAAAAGGTAGACTTCTCATTGTAGTCTTTGTTAATTGATTCAGATAATTTAAAATATGTTTATTTTATGACTGCCATGGAAGGCTTGCTTTTAAATGCAGCAGCTTTAAAAATAGTGCATTCTAAATAAAACTATTTAAAAATAGTGTGTCCGTGATGTGGATGATATAATATTTTTAAACAACCTCTTTCCACTCTTTCCTGTATGCTTGCCCCTTTAAAAAATCAGGGAAACTAGGTTTACTTGAACAGAAGAAGGCAAAATCAAGCTATATCATAGCTAAATTTGGCTTGTCAAGTGGTAGGTCACCTTCTTAGCTGAATTTTAGAGTATATGCTATATTTAGAATTACTGTATTTTGTCTGTATATGTCTGTCTTTGTTTGAGATCTAACAAACCACTTATGAGATGTTTGAGAAGTGTATAAAGTGAAATGCATCACTTTGTGAAATCAACTATGTTTGAAGACAAATAGAATCTGTGCTTGCCCTCCAAGTAGCTTGTAAGAAGTTTGCCTGAACAGGTTTTGAATGTATGAATACAATGGGAACATATTCAGCTGTATCTATGCTGCCTTATAAAACTCTTGAAATGATGCTTTGGATCTTAATTTTTGCTTTTGATACTTTGTTTTTATACAAAAAGATGATAAAATTAAACATCACTGAATCATATAGGAGAATGGTTATTAGCCTCCTAGATATTGTAGCCTCCTGTGCTTTGTAGCAATTATCAGTTGCTATCTCCTTTGCTGAAAATGCTTTATTTTATTTTGCAGCTATGCTGTCCTTTGCATAACAAGCAGGGCTATACACCAAAAAAATATTTTGATTGCCTCCTTCATCTTAATTCAGGGGAAAATCCACATTTCCTTTTTATTTTTCCTTTTTGTTTCTGTTTTGTGTGTGTGTATGTGGTTTTTTTGTTGCTAATTTTTTGTTCTGTTTTTAAAGATGTATTTATGTGAACAGAGCCAGTGTTTGAAATATTTTGATTAAGTTATACTCTGCTTTCATCTGGATGAAATGTTTTCTTAAAAAAGGAAACAAATGAAAGGGAAGTGGTGAGTATATTAAAAAACTTGGGTATGCTTCCCCAGTCCAGATGGAAAAATAATACAGTGTTAGTCATGAGCTTTCAAAGGGAAGGAGCACTGCAGAGAAGCATGATGGATGTAAGCAGGGATCTTTGATGTGCAAGAATACAAAGGTGGTTTGAATGAAGGCAAGAACTGCTGGAATTCTGCTTTACTCACGTTTACACAGTTGTGTGAACAATAGACCTATGGACAAACAAGCTTGTTCTCTAGCAGGGAATGGCTCCTTAATCTAATTCCAGGCATTGTGTAAGTCACGGATCAGCAACTTGATAACAAGTGTTCTGCAACTGCCACAGTTCCTAATGTTTAAATTTACGAGTCATCATGATCAAACTGAGGAGAGTGGTAGGAAACAAATAACTACCTACAAATAAATAATAAATGTTGTGGTTGAGTATCAACAGACCATGCTCACCTCAAAGTACAGAAAATTGGTTTCTTCAACTTGAGACCATTGTTAAATGAAGCTTCGTGCTTGAATGGAGAAAAAGTTTGAGTTAAATAGCACATCACGAAAGTACATTTCAATGCAATATTTCCCCCTGAAACAAAGCTTTTGTCCTCATGGACATCTTGTCCTGGGCATTTCCATAAGCAATTCCTAGTCAACTTTTTGCAAAGAAATGGTGGAAACCTCTAAAAGAGCATCATGGAATGCAGGAACACTGAAATCAGTGCTGTTAATCTTGAAGGCTCTTTCTTCATCCTTTTGAAGCTGGAGGTGTTTTAGCGTGATCTTATTGTTTTGTCCCTGAAGGATGTTTTCTGCAGAACTGAAAAAGGAGACCAAGCAAGGATAAAAATGGGTTAGAATCAAAGATGGGCACAGACAAGCACAACCATGGAGCTGATATTCAGCTTTATGTTTGGTTCCTGAATTCGAAGCTGATGTCTCTACTATGTGAGCTCTTACCTTGTTTGAGGAACATATATGCCTCTATTAGAATACATAGGCTCAGTATATTTCAATTTAATTTATATTTTCCTTCTTTCTGGAGGAAAAGAATGGATGTAAGGATATACCAACTTCTTGTGTTGAATGAGAATAATTCATATCCTAATACATATCATCTGGTCCCTCTGTTCTGGCGGGACTGACACCGCTGTATCCTTACACCATTCTGTAACTGTTTCTTTTCTTGGATAGATCCATGACCCTTAAAATTTAGTGTTTATGTTTAGTTGTGTGGCTTAAGTCCATTACTTGACCTGTCTTCACTGGATAAATGTCTGACTTGCTGTAGGCTGCGTCTGTCCCTAGGATTCTGGAGGAAAAATTGGAATAAATTCAACTACTGTCTTTTCAGAAGAAATTATCATTCAATAATATTAGTACTGGCATTCTCTCTCATTTTCATTTTCCTTTTCCACAGTCTACTGGTCTACTCTAATTTTATGTTGAATTTCCCACATTTTTGTCTTTTTCTTTCACAAAACAGCAAACAAACAAACCCAAACAACCCAAAAGCCAGTACAAGGAGGAGAGTCTTCTGTTCTAAAGATGATATTCGTACAGCTGGGACATTTGCACATTGATTCAGTGACTGGTTTTAGGCATACCATTGCACAGGGGCATGTGCCACTCCAGACTGGGCTCCCATGTGCTGTACCCTATGTAAGGGAGGGTTTGGGTATGAACTCCCAGCCTGCCATTTTCATATCCGCACTGGTTTAAAAAGCTAAAAAGCTTTGCCTCTTGATACAGTATCTTGCCTGTAACAAACAGTTGTATTGTTTTCAGATCAGATTTGGAGTGTGGGGTGAGAGATCTAATGTTCATGAAAACAATTCTTTTGTACCCCACAAGTGAGACTTGCAACACGTAGGGCAGAGGAGATGCTTATAGGGGATGCTGGGGAGAGAGGAATGGGTTAGGCTGTACCTTTCAAAAGGAGATGACTCATGGCAAGAGGGACAGGTACACAAAGGTGCTCGTCAGTCATAGCCACAAATCATGCCACAGAGTTGTCTCGCAGTGCTTTTGTGCAAGAAAGCTCAAGTGACGTGCTTCCTTTTCCTCATCTCTCTATTTACATCTGAATAGCCCAAATCTTAGAACATTCAACGTTAGGAGGAAAATGCACACTGAAAGTTTGTCCTCAGGTTTTGAACCAAACTTTGAATCTTCCGGGAAAATGCCCTACCCATCAGTCTTGTTTGACTTAGTAAAAGGAACTGCCTATGTTTATCTGGAGTTATAAATATTTTATGTCTGGCGAGGGAGGCAGATTTCGAGTTCCTGTATGAAGCTGGAATTCTGTGGTTGGTTCTGTTCGTCGCCGGGGCTGGCGTTTGAAAACAAGCCCCGTTCGTTCCGGTTCAGCACCACGGCCAGCGCCAGGCTCGGCGCTCCTCCGGACCGCCCGCTCCCCCGGCAGCCCTGCCTCGCCGGGGCTGCAGACGGGGCGATTGCTTATGTCCTCTTGGGCCACGGCCCCCTCGGGCCCCGTAGATCTGGCCAGCTGCAAAGTCCTGTACCTGGGTCGTGGCAATCCTAAGCACAAATACGGACTGGATTGAGAGCACCCCTGCAGAGAAGGACTGAGGGGTGTTGGTGGACGAGAAGCTTGAGATGACCAGGTGATGTGTGCCTGAAGCTCATAAAGCCAACTGTATCCTGGGATGTGTCAAAAGCAGTGTGGCCAGCAAGTCGAGAGATATGGTTCTCCTGCTCTACTCCAATCTTGTGTGACTCCTCCTGGAGTACTGCATTCATCTTCAAGGCTCTCAGCATAAGAAAGACATGGACCTGTTGAGTCCAGAGGAGGGTCACAAATATGCTCAGAGAGATGGAGCACCTCTGCTGTGCAGACAGGCTGAGAAACCTGTGGTTGTTCAGCCTGGAGAGGAGAAGACTCCAAGGAGAACTTATAGCACTTTCCGCTACCCAAAAGGGGGTCTACAAGAGAGCTGTAGAGGAAACTTTTGCCAGAACCAGGTTCTTATTATAATCTGAGTCTTCAAAGTGCTGAGCATCCTTAGCTGGAGTAGGAGATGAAACTGCTCAAGAGTTTCCAGGTGGTGCTGTCATTTTTCAAGACTGGGACTAAATGCACCAATATTTTCCTTTCAGTGTACCAAAAATATCCAGATGTGTACTCTACCTGACTTTCTGTTATGGCAAAGTACTGCCCATAAAGATTATAATTGTAGCTAGCTCTTGTGGCTGTCTTTCAAGGTCTTCTATTTTGAGGAGTATTTGTAAAAAATATTGTGAATTAAAATTCAACATATGACTGCTCTGACAGAAGCTGATAAATATTTTATTAGAGTTTGAGAAAATCTATTAGTATATTCCCCCTTTTGTTTAGAGAGGATAAAATTAATGATTTTGTTTTGCTTTTCTGCTCTGCTTTTTATTATCTTTTGTATATTTCTCTGCTTATGCCAGATCTACGCTTGATGCATCTGAGACCAGATTCACTTCTGTTACAGACAACTGTAATTTTCATAGTATGTTACTCTAGCCTTACATCTTGATTAGTCTGGAGTGTCTTCGGCAGTGCTGAGAGATCCAAATTTGGTGATTGGATTTAATAGAAGATTATTGTGTAGTGGACACTTATCCTTGCAAGATATGCAGTTCCTGTAACAGCACTCTTGTAGAGCCTTGAATACAAAGCCACTGCAGTAATGGGTTTTATTACAGCACCATGCTGACACCTATTTTGTGACTCACTTTTATCTGGTACTTGCTTAAATTATAGTCCCTTGTGGTCAGTACTGAAGCAGATTGCTCTGTTTGAACTTCACACACACTCTCTCCTTTAGTTATAAGAGGTTTTATATGGCACCCTTGCAACTTTTTTTGGGTAATGCGTATAATCTTGCACATTTTCTTGCAGGTTGGGGGAAGTTTGCTCGCTTGACTCGTGCCCTCACGAGCAGCCGAGGTGTCCTGCAGCAGCTCGCTCCCAGCGTCCAGAAAGGAGAGAATGTTCACAAGCATTCGAGACTTGCTGAGGTAATGTTTTATTTCCATGAGAAGCTGTAAAGAAATGTTTTTAGCCTTTTTGGGTATGTTGTCTCTATGTGAGCCAAGCATTGTGTCCCCCTTGCCCTGGGAATCCGAAGCCTGGTGGCAGGCATGGGAGCTCAGAATATGGTACGTGTGCTGTGAAACGTGTCCCATGACAGCGGAATGGAAACAGAGGTCCAACAGACTTCATGTAGTCTAATTGCGGTGTTGTGTTCCATATCTTATCAAAGTCTTATAAGGGTGCTATTATTAAAATAATTCTTGCTTTGTTTTTATTCTTCTGAGGATCTCAACATTAGTAGGATCTTGGACTATTTACTTATGTAATTTGAGGTGAAAAAAACTCAAAAAATTTGAGTGAGAAAAACTCAAGCTAATACACGAGGAAATTCTGGAGAATCCTTGACATGGTTGTTCTCTGAATTAATTTATGTCTGGTTACTTTTCAGTGGGATCCTAACCTTACTTTACAAAGTGGTTAAAATGTATGTTTGAGTTACTGGCTTTACAGACAGAACAACTGTAAGATGCCACAAGTAACACTGCAGACAGATCAGGAAAATGAAACCTTGTGATTTAGGTAGTCTCTCAAAGTTTTGAGAAAAGCTCCAGTCAGAGAAGGCTCTTTGAAGTACTTAGGGTTTGAAGGCTTTCACCACGAGGGGGAGAGACTGTCCCAAGTTTCCTGTAGCTGTCTCCTGGGCTAGTAGCAGGGTCTCCCTGGTGTAAAAACAGCTTAGGGAAAGGCTTGATATATGGTGTTAATGACAGCTTGGCCAATATAACATGTCAGTCCTGTTTTACTTATTGCTGTGAAAGCCATGGCAGCAGCTGTGACTCTTGTCAAAAATTTTTGATCTTCCTGTGTAGCTGGAGGTGTAAGGCACTGATGGATTCCATGAGGTCTCCACATAGTTAGTACTCTGTTAGATTTGCCTGTGTGCACCTTAGTTTCTATGCAAAATAAAAACATCCTGTCCAGGCCTGTACTGTTACCACAGATAATGATGAAATTGTCATGGACGGGATCTTACCTACTCAATGTTTAATACAGAACTACTACAGAATGGAAGTACAGAAATAGCATAGATCATCCTAGCACAGGGGAGGGGCAGACATTCACACAGACACTGTAATGTAGGAATACCGTGGGACTAGCACATGTCCACCCTGAGGTTGCTTTAGTGTCCTGGAATTTGCAGTAGTCCTAATCCTATGCAAGGCTTAACATCAAATAATCCTGTCGTCTCTTTAGATGCCTGCCCTTGATTTTTAGTTCATACTAAAATGTAGTCAGTAAAGTGTAAGGCAGAGGGGCTGAGGTTATTCTGTTTGGCTCAGCGGACCTCAGCCTGGACCTCAATGACTACGTGCTACTGAAATTTCTTGCAAGCCCATGTGCTCAACAAGTCTTTGCAAGTATTCCAACTGGCACAGCCAGTTGATTAATTACAAATAATAAAGGGCAAATGTATGGTTTACATGTCTGAAATGAGTTTTTTTAATTGCTGACTGAATATTGCAGTCATTTTACAAAGAACATTAGCCCCAACTGTGATGTTAGGTAGCTTGTTGAATTTCTGCTGTAATTTCATTTAAGTCAATAGAACTACACTGGAGAAAAGCAGAGTGCAGATGATCATACGGACAAGGCCACTTTTCTTACTTTGAAGATACATGGGGTACCAGGTTTCTTATTCTGGAAAGATCTCTTCATATTATTGAACATTGGATCTCCAGCTGTTCCCTGTTGTATTTTCAAATATTTTTCTTTTTTGTCCCCTTCATCCCTGCAGAAGCCTATTTGAAATTTTAAGTTCAAATAAAAATTCATCCTTTTTCTTTTCCAACTCATGATGACATTTCCCATCAATCTTTCTCATGATAAGGCTCTTCATTTATTGGAATATTATTTGTGTCACCCGCAGTTCTTTATCACTTATATTTTTGAATATGTGAGGAGTCAGTTGTGTCCTAGAACCTGAGTGCAGCAAGGTGTCGTACAAATATGAAGCAGGAGCATGCCACAAAAGCTTATGATTTCTTTTATTGGTTATGAAATAGTTTAAGAAAGGTGTAAGTGACAAACTACTTTGTTTCATCCTCAGATCACGGGTAATAGCTGTGTCTGTGAAGCTTCAGTCTTTGACCTGTGCCAGTAGGCATAGACTTTTTTAGCCTGACTTCTCTAATAGCAGTTATATGAAAACTACTTAAATAAATTATGCAATTAACAAAGGGTTGTCAGGTAACTCTGAGGCTACATTTTGCAATAAGACTGTAAAATAATTAATGCATTTCTGTGGCTTAATCACCAAGGAGTTGATTGTAGGAATGATTCTTCCTGGTCACTGCATAATATATATATCGTTTGCACTTATGGTCTTAGCTGATGTGTTCTGTACATTTACCTGGCAGTTCTGGGTAAACAAGATTGTGTCATAAGTAAAAAAAATGTGATAGTTATAAGAAATAAAAGCAGAAAAATTACAATGATGCTTAGCAGCAGTGTTTAATAATGGAACTTGTGCTTCTTTTTTTTTTTTTCCCCAAACCTTGTTTACCAGGAACTTTACACTGCCATTAAAATGTACTCCAAGTTGAGGCTTAGCACCTAGCTCTTAGCTTGGGAGCAATTTGTGTGGGTGCCTGTGAAAACAAAAGGAAAGGAGAGTGAGAGAAAGCAAATATGTGCATTTGAAAATACAGAAATGAGAGATTAAGCTGGAAATGAGTGATTGTTTGTGTATGTGTTGGCTTTTTCACCTCCACCCCAGGTATGTGATCTTAAGTCATTGTAACCATTTGTTGCTGCACTTTTAGGATCCTTGGCTCAGGATATATTGACCATTTTTTAACAAATCTAGGAGATTTTTTTTTTTAAAATTTTGCTATGTTAAAAAAAATCCACAAAAACACCACCAAAAATGCCACAACCCTCTGAAAACCATAATGAAATTTGACATTTCTGCTCTTGAAATAAAATTCCACAGCTTTAGAGAGCTATTAAAACATCGTGCATCATTACCACAAATAATAAATTCAGATAATACAGCTGTATTATCTGATGAAGCATAAGTAATTGAAATAATACTTTCATTAATAACTATCTAAAAAATACTTTTTTTACTATGATAAAACTGTATAATAGTGAAACTTCTTCTGAAACCAAGGCTGTTTCAGTTATTTTGAAAAGTATAGTAATGAACTTATCCAGTGCACATGGGTGGAAACTCAGCATATCGGTTTATATAGTTGTGTACGTTTTCTTCATGATTACTTTTATATTAAATCTCTTGGGGTTCTTTTTTTCCTCTGCAGGAGAAGCACATTTACAAGCAGTTTGAATCTAGTTAGTTCCTATGGGTGGGTAACCACACTAGTACTTCAGCAAACCTGTCTCAGGTTGGTGCTGCTCTCTCTAGAGGCTGGAGTGCAGCAGGAGCACCTTGGAGTAGGGCAGAAGTTACTTCTCTTTGCATCTGCCTGGGTTTGAGATAAGGTGCAGAAAGAATGGAGTTTATAGCTCCTTATCTCCAGATGGTGCAGAGGCGATGTGTGTGTGTGTGTCTGGAAGGTTGATGAAGAAATAGACCGTGTGGGGCCCTTGGTGTGAGAAGTGGAGAAAGGAGCTCTTATAACTTCCAGTGCAAGTGACCTGACAAAACCTAGATCTTTAGCACGAAGCTCTGTGGACCTTCTTCCATGATTTCTGTGAACTACTGAGCTCTTTAGTTGTATTGTATATTGTATATGCTTGTATTCTGAGATAATTCAGCTTTGTTATAGGCGTGTTTCTCTTCCTTCAATGAAATGATTAATTTGGTCCATTTGAAAGGTCTTGTCTGGCAGTCCCAGATGCTGCAAGACCTTTGCCAGGCTGTAAAGCAAGTTGCCTTTCCTGGGAGACGTAGTGTGAGCTGGGACAGTGCCCTTCTTCCATCCCAAGCTGTGAAATGATGGTTCATCCCTAGCAATGCCAGCAAGGTGGAGTGGTTTTACAAGGTGCATGTAAATGATGCAGTGGGAGGGAGCCTGGGCTAGAACTTGTCACCTTCACCCCACCCTAGCAGAGGACTGGAAGCACTTCGGGCTTCCTTCAGGTGGCTTTCTCCACCTGGTGAGTGATTGATATCCCTGTGTAATTCCTTGATGCCCAGTCCTGCCCTGTCCCTGCCCCTCCATTGAAGATTCACACCCACAGTGTGGGTGCACATCCCTCTGCTGGAGACAGTAAAAGCCATGACCCCATGTCACTTTAAATGGCCAGTGGTAGAGACTCCAATGTGGTAACAGAAGTTGAAAAGGCTTAATAATAAAGTCCCTAGCCAATCAGATAGTTTAGAGTACATTTGCTTTCTAAACAGAAAAGGAAGAAGACACCAATCCTTTTATTTTTGTATGCTGGAGCCCTTGAATCTCAAACAAGCTAGGAGAGAGTGCTTTATATTTAATGATGACATTTTAAAACACTGAAGTAACAAAGCTGTTTATTTTCTCAAGGAGTTGAAACTAGAAATCTGTCTGCTTTCAGTTCAGTCTTACATCCCTGCAGTTCCACTGGCTTGACTTTATTTCTTTTTCATTTGCAGCAAAATAATGGACAACATAATTTAGACCCTGCTTTATTGCAAAAAAGAGTGTTCTTGCCTTTTTCCTATTATTTGGGTATACAAGAATATATTACTACATTTTCCAGTACCTGTAATTTTGTTGATGCAAAATTTCCACAAGTTCTTGGAGTACAAAGAGATGAGCAATGGCCAAAATGGAGGGCGTTATACAATTTTCAGTCTAGAACTTATGAATTTATGTATGAGAACCAATCTGACAAGAACTAAATAAAATATTTTTTTCAGCGTTTCATGGTTGAGGTTCCTGTGCTGATTAGATTGGTTGCCAAAAAATTTGACTTATTCATATAATAACAGAGGCTAAAAAAATAAGCTGTAATTGGTCTGTGATTACAAACCAAGCAATTATGTTTTCACCCTGCATTTACGAGGTAGTACCATCTCCCCACAGTAGTAAGATTTCAGCATTTGAACTGAAATCTAGTTAACTGACTGGTAAATGTTACTATGTGATAGAGATTTTTGGTTTGCTGATCAGTTATTCCAGTGAGTGAGGATTGCAGAGGACTCTCCTTGCCTATATTTCAGCATATTTCAGGCTTAGGATCTTATCTTAGAGCTGCTACTCATGCAGACCCTCAAAAAGGCCGTTAGGAGCTCTTTGCTTTCCCACTGACTGAGGGTACAGCTGTGATGTGCAAAAGCGAGGGCAGGAGATATTTGCAATATTGATCTTGGGCTAGAGCTTTTGTTGAGAAAAGGCACCCTAACATTTGTCACTGGGATTGCAAACAAGCCTTGAAGGCAGCAACACTGTGTACACATACTAACTCAATACATCACCTCTGCCTCTTCCAGTGACTTCTGGGGACTGAATAGACTGACCAGTGCCTCCTGTAGAGAGGAGAGACTACTTCTGTCTTGTGCTGTTTGCAGCTGCTCTCACCACAAGACAACTTTTTTATTTGCCCTTTTTTTTTTTTTTCCTTTTTTTTGGTGATATGAAGAAACTACGTGAATCAGGGTCAGGAGTCAGACTACTTAATACTGCAGGGGAGATGTCTGACTCCTGGTTTGGTCTGCAGAGGAAATGTTCGTTTTTCCTCTTTGCTGTCATTCTAGAAACTCAGTGCAACGAAAATACTAGGTTCTCTTATTTTTTAAAAATTTTGTTCAAACTGTTGGTGCCTCTGTGCTAATGTGCAGGTCTCTCTGAGCAGGTCATGCTAATTCTCTTCAGGAGAACATACTGGACTGAAAGTCAGCAGGCTTGCAATTCCCATTGTCATTTATACATGTGCAAGTGACTGTGATCTGACAGTGTCTGACCCCTGTTGTGTACAAGACTAAGTCATAATGTGAGCAGGGAATTTGATCTAGGACTGTTTTGTTCAAATAGGACTCTTGTAGCTGGTTGTTTTCTTTTGTCCCCTTTGGCTTAAACTGTTGGAAAAAAGCCCACCAGTTCAGGGAAAAAAAAAAAAAAGACACTCAGAAAAACCTGCAGATAAAAATCCATGTCTAAATAATTTACATTAAAAAAGCTAAGATAAGGACCACGAAAGGAAGACATCCTTCTATTGCAGCTATGCTGTCTGATCTTCTCCCTGAGAAAGATGGCCATTTCATTTCCTTCACTGCTTCCTATTGCTCTGAACTATGTGCAAATAAACGTGAAAAAGCAGCCATGCTCCTAATTTTTTTCCCAGGTTCTGTGCGTTTGGCACTAGCAAACACATTTCGCTCTAGCAAACCTCTGTCTTCCTTTCAGTTTTCATCCATAATTCATCCAGGGTAAATTTAATATTAAAATTTAGCTTGTCTTCATTTGGACACAGTTTCTTCATGTTGATTTCACCCTCATGTATATCCATAGATATAAACAAATACATTCTTGTTCATAGGTATATGGAAGAAACTTTATTTCTCAAGAATTAAATACATGATAATACTGTTTTCACACGAGTGGGCAGAACTGTATAGACAATAGACAGAAAACGGGCAGCATTGATCAAGATTGCAGTTATGCAAAACAGCACTCAGTGTCAGCATATGCTCAGCTTGAGGTCCAGGGTTTAAAACATCATCTTTTGCAGTCGTGCATTTTTGAATTCAGACCTAACTGCACTGTAACTGAACAGTACACTTTGACAGTCACCTCAAATACCATGTTCAGTTTTGGGCCCCTCACTGCAAGAAGGACACCGAGGTGCTGGAGCATGTCCAAAGAAGGACAACAAAGGCAATGAAGGCTCTAGAGAACAAGTTTGATGAGGAGCAGCTGAGGGAGCTGGGGTTGTTTAGCCTGGAGAAAAAGAGGCTCAGGAGGAACCATATCACTCTCTACAGCTGCCTGGAAAAAGGTTGTAGTGAGGGGGAGGTTGCTCTCTTCTGGATAATGAGTGACTGGACCAGAGGAAACAGCCTCAAGTTGAACCAGGGGAGGTTTAGATTAGATATTAGAAAAAATTTAGTTGCTGAAAGGGTTGTCAAGCATTGGAACAGGTTTCCCAAGGGAAGCGGAGGAATCACCATACTTGGAAATGCTCAGAAGGTGTGTGGATGTGGTACTTGGGGATGTTGGAGAATGTGGTGGTAAGAGGTTAATGGTTGGACTCAGTGGTCTTAGAATCCTTAAGGTTCAGGAAGTCCTCTACCTTTCTTTGATTCTAAACCATCAAGTAGATCAGACACTGAACTTCTCGCAGTGAAAAGTTGAAGTTCAAAATGAATTTATTGAGGTGAATTATAATTTTCCATGGGCTTTGTTCCTGCACAGTCCAGAGAAGAGGAAGAAAGACCCATGCATTCATGACAGATTGTAGTATAAGACTATTTCAGACACAGTGTAGGGTTAAATAGCCAGTGCTGCAAAACAATGTGGTCCAGCTGTCCCGGTGTTGGATTGCAACTCAGAAGTTATGGTATTATTCCTGGTTTTACCATTGATTTCCATTCACAACTGCCTTCCTGCCTGTTCTTGCCTATCATTCATCTGTCTTACCTATTTGGATCACTGAAGAAGCTATCTTGGACACCTGACACATTAGACTTAATGCCAAAAACTAATTAATGGTATTACGAGAAACAACTGTTTCTAGTTTGATGCTGATCTATTTAATGGAATACTTATCTTGACATGCTTACCATTTTGTGGTGATAAAAGGAGTTTATGGGCATGTATTTTTATCAACTATTGTACTGAGCTTGAGAATTTACAGTGTGAAAAATATAATGAAAAAATTAAGCATATTTTCCTTTTCTCCTGAAATCTCTGTGACTACAGGTGTTGCAGCTGGGCTCTGAAATCCTCCCACAGTACAAGCAAGAGGCACCAAAGACTCCACCACATATAATTTTGCATTATTGCGTTTTCAAGACCACCTGGGACTGGATCATCTTGATTTTAACCTTCTACACTGCTATTTTGGTTCCTTACAATGTCTCCTTCAAAACCAAACAGAACAACGTGGCATGGCTAGTAGTTGACAGCATTGTGGATGTCATTTTTCTGGTCGACATTGTGCTCAATTTCCACACAACCTTTGTGGGGCCGGCAGGAGAGGTGATCTCTGACCCCAAACTGATTCGCATGAATTACTTGAAGACCTGGTTTGTGATCGATCTGCTCTCGTGCTTGCCCTATGATGTCATCAATGCATTTGAGAATGTCGATGAGGTCAGTATACTGGTTCCACTTCCACCCATTAATTATTACTTAATGGCTGGGGGGAGGTGGGAGAGAGAAGAAGGAAATGTATGCTTTTAAATGTATTGAGTTACTGTACACACGTCTCTCGTAGCCACCCACAGCATGCATGGGGCTTTGCTTACGAATCCTAAGACGCAGAAGCATCATTCTTTAGCTGCACTGGGAAAGGCTGTAGCTTTTCATGCTAGAGATCTGTGTTTACTTTACTTCATTCTGCATCCTCAGAGTTCAGGAGGACAGACAGAAGCAGACAGCAGGACCCCTGTACAGCACTGAGGAAAACTACTCTGTCTGACTTACTATGAATAGCTTGAACTGGTGTGCCAGGACAGTTTCTTGGGGCAGGTTTCTCTTGCTTTCACTGTTGACTGAACAGGGTATGCCTGCTAATGGCAATTCTTCACATGAACAATTGGGAAGTAAAATACGCTTTTCTCAGCTGCTTCTGGTACACTATAGCAGATGAAAAAGAGGCAGGCAGTGACTCACCAAATCTTAGACCACCAGAAAGCACTGTGTGTGTATACCTGGTGATCCATGCAGCATTGTCTGGCAACAGTTGTTTTGGAGGAAGGTGAAGCAATTGAAGATGCTTTTTTGGTAATGTCATGATTAGATTAAAGGGTAGGGAGAAATCTGGAAATCTAGACTCCTCAATTCTTGCTCATTTCTTTGGGAACAGATTACAATCCAGCAAAAGAATTACCATTCAGACAGTTTAAACCACAGTGCTGCCGCTGCTTATTCTTTTGGATCAGTCTGCGAAGAAAATATTCCTAAATTAAATATGTTAGGGTTCCATGCCTAAATAGTTCGGAGAATTAATGAATTGTTAATAAAATCCTAAATAGGATTCCAGCAGTCTGCTTTCTGGTTACATATTATAAAATATGTATCATCAACTAATTATGTGTCTAAATTTATCTCTTACACATCCTAAAGATGTAATATGCAGAATCACAGGATGGAGGGGGTTGGAAGGGATGTCTGGAGATCATCTAGTCCAGCCCTCCTGCTAAAGCAGATCCACACAAAGCAGGTTGCACAGAATTCCATCCAGGTGGGTTTGAATAACTCCAGAGAATGAGAGGGATATGCATATGGATCTCATCGGGGTTTAGTATTTAATTTTTAGCCTGCAAAATTTAAATTTTACAAGTTCCTTGAAAGTACGATCATGTTTCAAAGGACAGCCTAGTATCAAAAGAAAGCTTTTGATTTGCTTAAGTGAAGTATATGGGCAAAACCAAAACCACATTACTTTTTAAAAAAATAGACTACTCAGGTTTTTATAAAATTTGAAGTACTTAAAGTGATTTTCTCAGTGGCTCAAGGACAAGTAGGCAAACTATTGAATGTAGTGGAAAAAACGTTATCTGATATTTAATTCCCAAGAGAAGTTTTCATTTTATATCAAGCTACAGACTGAGATAACACAAACGAGATCAAGCAAAAAAGCCTTGTGAGACCTGTCCTTAAGTATTTGTTTGTCATAGAAAGGGCCCAGACTGCAGATTATTCTGCAGGGCTTTCCATATTACTTTGCTGTGCCACTGATATAGTGATGGAAGCAGTGGCCATATGTCAGTTTCTGACATTTAGACTGAAAGAGCAAAAATAATAAATAAATAATAATAATTATCAAAAGAAAGAAAGAAGTTAGGCAAGAAACAAAAAACGGGAAGGAAGTTTTTCTCACCCGCTGCAGATAGTAGCAACTTGGTGATGATTTTGCTGGAGGAACTCTTTGTAACTTTAGGCTGGTGATGTGACCTACAGAACAACCCTGAGGAAAATGTCTATACCAGTGGCTGTGACAGCCCTCAAGCTGAGCACAGGTGCTCTTTAACTCATGGTAGAAATTCTGCAGAGAAATACTTGTGTGAGGTTGAATTTCTCCAGGTTCTCCATCTCAGTACTGCCTTGTAACAATGAGAAGTGGATTGGTACTTTGGTTTTCTTATGGCTCTTCTGCACTCTCCTTAATCAGTACAACAATGTTAGTTTTAGTTACTCTGCTATCATGCCCAAGGAAAAGAAAAATAACCAACATTTTTCTTGACGCTGTCCTTTCAAGACTGTTCATCTCCATTTCCCGTAGTGGATTCTGACATTTAGCTGGTATAAATCAGTGTAGAGTCATTAGAGCAGAGTTTCCACTGGTGTAAATTGCTATACTTCTATTAAGGGTTCATACTGGTTTATAGGACCTGAAGGGATTTGCCAGCAAATTCACTGACAGAATAACATAGTGCATATCAGGTGGGGGTTTAGGACAGTATATGCTGATCACTCAAGAGCTGCCTGTAGAGAGAAAGATAACCTTTTATTAAAGAGGAAAAAAAATAAAAGCCACATTCAAGGAATCTTGAAAGTAGAAAATGTTTGCCTGATATCTTCTTTTCTGCTGTGTAGAGCACTCCCTTTTTGGGCCAGCTCCCTTCCTTTCTTGCTGGTTTAGATTTTGCCTGTCTCTCGCCCTGGATTACACACTGTATTACTTCAAGTTGGATTAAGTCAGGTGTGAGGCTGCACTGCTCAATTTACAAGAAACCAAACTGAATTATTATCTCTGTGCCACTTTAATTTTGCTGAAAGGAATTCCCTTGGAGACAGTGCACTGGAGTTAGTAGGTGGCCATGACTGCTGCAGGGATTTTTTAAAAAGTCTTAATGTGAATACCCTTGCAAAAATTACCAGAGATTAAATGATACCCAGTGTCAACAGTGCTGATAAAATGAGATAAAGAATACGAATTGCTGTTTTCCTGTTTTGATGTTTTCCATATATGGTTTTAAACAGCAGGAAATAGAATCCTGGCTTTGCTGCAGTCCCCACAGTGAAGGGGAACTGCAGTGAGGTGGAACCTCACTTGTTTTTCTGTCTGCTGTCATTCTCTGTTAAAAAAAGGGACACTGAAGACACTGAGGATGTCATGGAGAAAGTAACTTGACAAGTCAATTTGTTTTTAAGAATGCTGTAATTACTGTGGTGGAGACTAATTGATTTGCAAAGGGACATGGAACCTGGAGCACTGAACAAGTAAAAAGCTGTATAATAGGATACTGAGGCTTTTTTTGGTTCCTGACAATTTTGGGACTGTCCTTTCACTTAGCTCTTGATAGATTAATGATGAAACCATTTTTGTCATCTTTAAAATGATCCACTAATATAAGAACAATTATAAGAGATGAAACTAGAGTTGATCAATATTTTTGACAAGTAGATACTAAATTAAAAAAAATTCTGTTATTGGATTTTTTCTATTTTGAAATACCTTTTTTTTTGCAATTTACTTCATTATTCCAGTACAAGATATATTAGAAATTTTGTTTTCTTGAAACAAAATTGTGACTTCTGTGTTTTTCAGACAATTTCAAAATTCTTTGGGTTTGTTGCAGTTTGGAACATTAGTATATTTTCAATTTACATTTTTCAATATAATTGAAATTCCAGTTTCCTCTCTGAACGGTTGAGAATATTTTTGTCCTCAAAAATAATTTGAATTCATTAACTATTGATCAATACAACTATTAATAACTACAATTAATTCAAGAGACACTTAAATATGAATAGCCACATTCTACAGATGGAAGAGGAAAGAAAAAACGTTAGTGTCTTTGTTCATGGCCATATAATTAAATATGAGACTGTATGAAGCTTCTGACCTCAAGTTCTGTGCTCAAAGAGACAGTACAGCATCTCATATTCAGACATGAACAGAATTCAACAAACGAAGAAATGAATAGCTGTAGATAAATTTCTATTGTTAATTCAAATGAAAGAAAAGTTATAAATGTTTCTCCTGGCTTTTATATATGGGAAGCTAATTATGCAGTTAAATACTAATTACTTTCTTGATCTGTCACAGAACTTCAAGAGAAGAAAATATACCATTGATTGATGAATCAATTTAATGCTAGGCTTGAACTTTCTATTGTTAAGACAATACATCATGCTGTAATTTAGTTTGAGTAAGAAAAGAAAATATTGGTCTAAAATTTACACAGCACTTAAAAACCGATGGTGTTAGTCTCCTTCAAATTTGAATGATCACAATAACATTTGTCAGTAATCCTTTACAGTAATTAGTATTATTCCTCACTTAAGGAAATACCACATACTTTGGGGGATAACGTTATCTTTTTGTGTTCAGACATCAATCAGTAAATTTAACAAAAAACAGGCTTAAAGAAAATTCCACAATTTTTTTCAAGAACACTGCAATTTAAGGCTTTGAATTCCAAAGCATATTCTTGCATTGTCAGCTTGAGCAATTTTATGCTGTGGTTTTCGGCCATAATACCATAAGATGTAATTTATATTGGAAAAAATTTGACCTATTACATGTGATGCAGTTGTTGTGAAATCTCATGGTAGAAGTGGAATCCAGTCATGTCACCACCATATAAATCTCTGAAATAGGGAGTTTTTAGTAGTAATTTCTATGTGTGTTTGAACAGAACGCTATGATCAATTGTTAGTTGATGCCAAATTGAGAACCATATATCACTCTATTAGTTGAGGTAGAAGAGAAATAAATGCACAGCCAAAGGTCATCAGGAAAGATGTATTCAATAGAAATGATCTAATGTTCACTTAAGTGAATGAATAAGAGAGAAGCTAGCATGCAGGGAAAGAAGATATACAGCTTTGAAAGGACAACATTTATGATGATAGAAAAATTTCCAGAAAAAAACCATAATACAGAAGTAATAGAAGTAAATTAAGCTATTTAGTGCCAAGTGAGCGTGGTGTAGCTGGAAAGCAAACAGTGAGCCGAGAGAGGAAAAAATGAATGTGTTACTGGTCAAATTGTTGGCAACTCTCTGAGGCAGTACTTTTGCAATAGATTAATTTAAACCTTATTAGTGGAATAATCTCTCATGCTAATACAAATTAGCTATCTAGGAATGACTGAAGTAGCTACACTGGAAAGCGTGCAACATCCCTAGACTTTTTTTTTA